ATCATTCCCAGGTGATTGATTGATCCTAAATATCGGCAGCCCAGCAAGTTCCACAGTTACACTTATTCATAACAGAAAATAGCGGATAAAGGTGTCAGCAGTATTCATCTGATCGAGCCGTCTGACAGCTGGCACATTCCTTACGTACACACAGTTACATACACCTACAGAATTTTGAAGTCGAGTAATGGTCAATAGGAGCCTAAGGCCTCTCCCTTGAGAACCCCCGAAGTAGCAGTCTGAGGAGGGTTAACCAGGAAACTATTATCCATAACCAGACCAGTACTAGTGTTATTCAACTAGTTGGTAGTCATTTAAGAAATGGAGCTGTGGCGGAAAAGGGTGTGAATTAGTCACTTTGACTAGCCGTCTGACAGGGAACCCGGGACAGCCTACAAGCGATGAAATGATTCCAAGGAGGAGACGTCGCAATAATATCGGGTTTCTGGCTTATCACAATAGAAGTGAACAGAAGTTTATGGAATTTGGAAAAAAATCGCATTTGATAGATAAGCGGGGTCATTAACGGCTACTTTATAGGGGAGTGGTGCTAAGCCTGCACTGATAAGGTCGTGCTTAACGACAAAAGATAGAAGCGCTGCTGTAAAAGCGAGAAACTTCGAAAGCACTGCACCGACCGAAAACACGGACCTGTTTTGGTCTCTGAACAAGCATTACCGTACCACTTTCCCGAATAAGTCAAGTGACAGCAGACCGAAAGCGGAGATCGAGAAGTGGATATTAGGAAAAAATGGGAAAATAGAATATTTGCGTAGACCCAGAATGTGGTCAAACAAAATGTGTAAAAAGGCCGCATAACAAGATACAAACAACAGCAAAACGACGATGTAAGCAAAAATGTCTCAAGGAGTAGTGCTTAACACCTACAAACTCGTCATCATTAGGGTGTTTGTAGGGGATAGGGGCAAAATTTTTCGAACTTAATATGATTTTTTTATGAAAAATTCAAAAAGTCATGCCCCACCCCAATGATGAAGAGTTCGCAGGTGTTAGGGACCGCCATGAGACATTTTTGTTTTGCCATTAGCGTTTTGTTCTTGTTTCTGTCCTGTTTATTCTGCTTACAAGGTTGGCAAAATGGAGGCAAAACTTCCCTCGTACGAGACTTGTGCTTTCCGAGCGTCGGGCTTTTTATCCCTAACATTGAAAAATAATGGGCACGAGCCCGAAAAGCAAAAGTGTACGGGTTGAAAACTCGTCCAAGGCCGAAGCTCTTGACCACATCCATTTAGTGAAATTTTCGATTACGCACAATATTATGCTGAGATATTCTCGTTTACTTTCAAAAATCTGTCGAAATTACCAACAGTATTTAAAGACGCAAAATAGTCAGGCACTTAACTATGTAGTATTGACTTCTGCGACAACGATGGCAGTTGCAAAAATCTTTCCATGTTCATAGCTATTATCGACGAATTTTGATAAGCCACTTTGGAGGTAAACTACAACTGGTAAACATTCTTTCCAATAGAAAAATTTTCAGTTATCCTGCATTTTAATCGGAATGTTCCAATATAGCGAGGATAAATTAATTTTTACCAAAATTACCAGTGATTTCTGATCGATTCCGCAAATAATCGACGAATCCCATAAATATTGTGATCTTCCCCCTCATGAGTGTATAAAACTTGATATTTATGCCGATAATTCTGTATAAAATAAAAACCACGCCAAATTCATAAAAAGAGGAACTACGTGCTTATAACTGCCATACAAAATATCAATAGCTGAGCACTAAAATAAAGAAAAGAAGGGTCGGAAAAATGAAGAATATCCCACAGGCGGCCTACAAGGAGGAATCAGAACGGCGGCGAAAATGTCAAATGAGCCAGTGATCCCAACCAAGTACATGGGGGCTGTTTGTGCAGAAATCGATTCGCTTCGGTCTCGTGCCGCGAACACCCTCAGGGAAAGCCCCCACAAGATTCGACAGTGACGTCAACACGGTGGGTGGGATGATGGACTTTGAAGCTTCTAGTTATAGCAACCAAAGGGAAGTTTCTTCTTCCCTTGAGGTTCTGAATGGGGAGGGGCCTAGATAAGTCGATGGAGTCCACAATACTGGTTGCAGAAGTGTAGACCAAAACTGTTTCAGGAGCCCCTTGAGCAAGTACTCCGCCTACTCACATTCTAGTCGGTAGTTCATGAACTCCAGTTTGATCTAGGAAGGATATCCACAGCTTCTTTTCTCAGTAGGACTTTCATCGATACCCAGTGCTCATTCTGATATCACCACTTCCCATTGTATCAGTGAATTGAGAAAAGTTTCCTCACGGATTCCTCGAGATCCTCTAGTCACAAGGGGGACTACTGCTATATTTTCATCACACATGTGTCTTCAGTCTTATCAGTTGCCCTTTTGCCATGATGCAGCTTCCTCTCACTGCAGCAGTCTCATTCAGATTATCTTGCCTGCTCATCAATCATATTCCCCATTATTAAGAAAAACAACTTTTTTTTTGATAAGGTGGCCTAAAGAAGCCATCCATTTTGTGGAAAAAGTGGCATTTCCCTATCAGTAGAACTGGTAGAAGAATAGTCAGGTTCCTCCACTGAATGGATCGCTTCGATAATGTGCTCTGTCCTTACTAAGTACTGCATTTCAATTTGGTTCATTCAATCCATATGTAGGGACAAGCGCCTCCAAAGGACTCCTCTTTGACGAAAGAGAGGGGGAGAGGCCTACGTCCACCCACTTCCAGCTCTCTTTCTTCCCTTATCGCCACCGGTCTCCAGTCATCGTCGTTCAACTCCGGAAAATCGGAGAAGCTGAATAATTAGAGACTGGAGGAGGTGGGGGTTGGCTTGGCCCTCTCCTATGGGAAACATGTTTTGCAGATAATTGGTTTCACCCATATTATAGGCCTTAACTATTAACGTATTCCAATGTCTGTTATCCGGGAAACGCTTCGACCACGGCCAATTCNCCCACTCCCCCTCCCCGATAGACTTCCTGTCAATACTGTTAATTTTGAAAATAAATCCAGAGGGAGGGTAGTTCCCTTCTTTCGGGCCGCTTTTGTTAATATACCTGCGATCTGCACCTTACAGGGGTGCTGCTCCGAGAAACCGTCTAATTTTCTGCATGAGAATGATACCTTTTTATTCGACTTCAGAACCGTTTTCAGCAAGAATGACCTTGTAAAAGATTAATGTTACTAAGAGTTGATGAATTGCATCAAACGTTTTTCACACCTATTCAGGGAATTCGTTCTACAGGGACGTTATCATGAGCTCGAACCAGTGAGAGAAAGTCGTTGATAATCATGGACAGGGCGAAGGACAGGGAGGCTTTTTTGAGGGAGAATGATGGAGAGGAAGTTTTTCCAGCGTCGACCATTCCTTTTTTGGGATGTATCCACATACCAGGAGGATAAATGGATAAAAGAAAAACATGCCTTTCATTAGCATTAGCATAGCATTAGGTCCAGCCAAAAAACTTAACCACTTGGGACTGCTTGAGTTAAAAATGAGTATATTTACAAGAAGACAACCAATATGGCAAAATCTCATCCTTGTAACTTCTTCAAAAGTACTTGATCGTATCATGTTTGCTTAGGAATTTGTCTGTTTATTTGTCCCTTTGAATTATAATTCACCTTGTCCAGAAATCGCCCACTCACCTCGGTCGGCACTGCCCATTTCGGTTCACGTTCCACCCGTTCCTGTCGGGTCTCTGCTCAGTTTTATTCGCTGCTCAGCGTCATTCTTGCTTCGGCACC